GGGTGGGAGGGAGATGGGGGTGGTGGTAGCAGGGGTGGTGGCAGGGGTTGTGCAGAGGCAGTTTTGGGGGTCGGTGCAGAAGCCGCAGGGGGAGGAGGGATCGGTGGGGGGTGCGGTGGGGGCGGGCTTAAGGAAGTTGGTGAAGTCGATTTCGCGGTCTTCGAAGGTTGAGGTAGGGGTGGGAATTGTGGTGGAGGGGTCGGTGGATGCTTGGGGAGTGAGGATGGAGGGGATGGAGGGGATGGAGAAGTTGTTAGTCATGTCCGTGTCGGTCGTGATCTCGTCGGCGGATTTGGAGGTGACGTTTGTGAATTGCTCGACGCAGGGACACTGGTCTTCGGTGCAGTTATCGCAGCCATCTGGAGCCCGCTTGGATTGTTTCGCCGGCGAGGGTTTGAAAGGAGCGGCGTCGGCCGGCAACTCCGTGGCATCTGAGGACGGTGTCTGTGATGGTGTAGAGCTGAAGCCGGGATAGCTTGTAGTCTCCGACCGTCGATGCTCCGATGAATATTGCGTCTGTCCGACATAACTCTGATCGACTGAATACGATCGGTGAGCCGCAGCGTTCGATGAGCCATTCGAACCCATCTGAATCTGCCGTCTCAACCGTTCTATCACCTCATCTTTCCCCCGGACCGTCTTCTCCGCCTCCACCAACCTCGCTCGCATCTCCACCAGCTCTCCATTCATCCGACCCGCCGACCCCTCCGCCGCCTCGCACCGCTGTTGCAGCCCATGAATCACCTGCTCCTGCTGCGTCAACTGCCGACTCGCCATCTCCAACCGCCCCTCATAATCATCCCGCTCTTTCTTATTATTCACCGCATCCTGCTCCAATTGTTCTTTCTGCTGCTGCCGTCTCGCCCGGAACGACCGTTGCGCTTCCCGGTTCTGCTGCTTCCGCTTGGTCGGCGGCACCTCGTTGACGGTCTTGCGGCCGGGCTTGGGCCGCGGAGGGATGTGGTAGGTCCCGTTTAGCGGGCCGCGGGACGCGGCGAGGGGGAGGCCATGGTCCGTTTTGGCGGTCGAGGACGCCTGGCTGGCGTCCGGGCGAAGGAGGATAACCGGATGGTGACTCGAATGGGGGACCGGGGGGAGCGAGGAGTCGGAGGAGTTGTATTCCGGGGACTGGGCGGAGGAACCGGAGCTCAATGGGGGGGAGAGCCCGTCGGTGATATACGCCATTGGGGTTGGGTTCGATGAGTAACCAGGTGGTGTGGTGATGAAGATGAAGGTGGTGCAGATGGAGAGGTTATCTTATCAGATCAAGATCAGATCAGATTTTGAAAGTGCTGGGGGACTAGAGTGGGCTTGGCATCACGTGTGGAATTCAGCGCCGAATATCGGAGCGGGGTCGAGGCACGTGATTGTCACACCACACCCATTGACTCATATCACGCGTTTGTTTACTCTGGAGAGATTCTCTGGGTCAGCAATCATGACCTTGATACCTACCTGTGTCGACTCCTGCCTGCCTGCACCCATTAATCCTACTGCAACTTTGGAGGATATAGAGTCTTGTCGGGCGCCAACATTATGCACACCATCTGCAAAGCTTCCACCAGTACATTAGCGGACCGAAAGTCGACTACCATATTGTACAGTACATAGGATACATCCCAGCGCTCAGCGACACGGTCCTGCCATTCGCATCAGCAAGTATATCCCACAATGCCCCTCTTCCCCACGAACTTCATCCCCCCAACACAATGCACTAGGAATACATCCAGAGAGTAGTTGCCTCCCTCCGCTACGTCCTCCAAGCCGGATGGATCTGACTCGGCGGCCGTCCCGCGCCCGATAACCCAACGATAAACTCCGGGACATGCGAGTTTAGGGGTCCGCGGAATTCCTGTATCGGCGGAGTCTGTCCTTCATCCCCAAATGATCGCGGTAACGGCGACGGCACGTGCGAGTAATGTACCGTGGAACGCGGCTGTACGCTCACGACGTAGTCCACCCCATCGTCGGAGACGTAGGATGGCGGACGATGAGTGCTATTCGGATTCGAGTGCGAGGGAGAGCGGAGGTCGATGAGCGTGGGGGTTGCTGGCGTAGGGGTACCTGGCGCATGGGTGCCTAGCGCGTCGACTCGTTGCCAATGGAGGAGATTTGGATTCAGACGCTGGTCGCGACGGTTAGCATTGCGCAGGTCGAGTGATGGGAGCGTAACACTTACAACACTACATCGCCATAGCCCGTATGCCGGTGGCGGCGGCTTAGGCGCGTCTTTCTCCTCTACCAGCACTTCTTCCACGCTTTCCACCGCCTCTTCATCGTCACGGGCGACATGGACGCGGATAGGAGATTTGGGCTCGAACCCTTGCGGTCCGGCGAGGTCAGGGACTCGGTGATGGCGGCGAGTGGGAGGAGGTCGCGTGGCGAGCATGCAGAGGCGGATCAGGGCGTGGCAGAAGACGATCGTGGTGCAGATGAGGAGCAGGATGAATAAGATATGGACTTCTTGCGCGACGGCGTTGTTGGTGAGCGCGAGGGCTAGGTCTAGATGGTTTAACATGCGCTGCGTGGGTGATGTGGGGGAGTGAGAGGACTTACAGATTGTTAGCATCGTTGCGAGCAAGACTCCCGATATCATTAAGGTGATAGCCTTCGTCCTCGTGCGTCCACGCAAAAGGGAACGGTTGAAAATGGGAGATTGATGGTGATTTCGAACCCAACCCCTCTTCGGCTTCTGCTTCTGCTTCCTGCGCTTGCGACGGACTCCTCTCGCCACCCCATCCGCTCCGGAGTCTACCACCGTTCTTTCTAACGTTGACGATCCCTGCGTTGTACCCCTCGCAAGAGAGAGCGATGATCGTTCCCATGTGCTAGGTATCGAAGCTGGGGAGTAGTTGGTCGGGTAGTTGTGAGAATTGTTCGCATGGTTCCTCGCTGGCGCGGAGCCGATACCTTCCTCGAGGCCTCGAGCGTGGTCTGAAGGTTCGGTCCGAGTATTCGGTTGACGAAGGAAGACGAGCGGGGGAAGTTTCGGGGGCTCTTCGTCTTGTCGGAGGGTGGGACTTTGGGAATAGACCGAGCTTCCGAATAACATTGAGCGAACGTTTTCGTGCAGCGCAGTAACACGGGACCATCGTGCTCTCGGGGAGGCAGTGCCTACTACTGAGGGGGTCATGATGATCGCGTCGTCGCTGATGTGGAGAGGAAAGATTGTCCTGCCGTCGAATCTTCTTTCGAAGTATCCAACTCTTTCAAGGCCCTTTCAGACGCGTTGTGATAAAGTCAAACTCGGTGTTGACCTGCAAGACGCGCGTGTTGACAAAAAGCCTCGTGTCCTGCACGCCCGCGGGTTATTGTGTTGCAAACTCTGCCAGATATTGTCAATGTTGGCCATGGGCAAGACAACAACCGGTTGGCAACGTGGTCCACCAACGTGTTCGCCTTGCAGCAGTCGCCCGGAAAGAATGACTGAATCCTGTTCAAAGTCACCCGCTCCCCACCGGCTGGTTGGACGACAGCTGCTCTTTCAATGAAGGGAGCTCGCAGATACGAACGGGTTCACGAACACAAGAACCGAATGGCTACGAGCAGGATACTCTCCTCCCTCTTACACGACAGCCAGGTCCCCAGGATATGTCTGTCGGTAGTTGTGCCTGCAAAAAGCAAGACTCGATCTACAGTCGGTTCTGTCGCATCAAGAGAGCGGTAGTGTGGTACGATGGGACATATTGCGAGTTTGGCTGCAGCGCTGAAGCGCATGCCAGGGATGCGTAGCAGATGGGCAACATAAGGATGAAGCCATAGCGCCTGATGCGCGACCTCAGTTCGGGCGGAGGAGCAGATGAAACAAAGGAGATGCAGGAGGGGATAGTTCGTGCAATGGTGAGGGACAAGGGAGTTGGCGATGGGAAGATGATACTCCGTACATTTGATGTGATACACTTGATGTTCGGTGCAAGGGGGTCGTATACCCCTGAATGCGCTGCGCTCAGCCAATCGTTGGGTGTAACCCTGCCACCTTAGGAACAATGGTCCATTAAGGTGAGGAGAAATCCCCTCGACTCCTGGCATTGGAGGAAAATGGAAGTACGTAGTACTTGCAATAGATTCGGGAAGCTTGTTTGCATCGGGCTTAATTGGTGTTTAAGGTACCGATATACTCGGACATGTAAGTGTACGAGTTCCTCAAGTTTGAGGTCGACAAGCTGCAGGCAACAGGTTGGAACTGGCAGGGCTCAGAACGCGACCGAACTTCTGGTTTCACTATTGATGAACCAGATCAGAGGGAAAAAATCAAACGGTTTTGGATCAAATCCAGTCCTTCACTTGTAGGCGAGGTTCTCGAACACTCCAAGTCCATATCCCCACAGGCGTCCACTGAACGAATATGAAGCGCTTGACGAACCCCAGCAGCCTAGGCACACCCGTTCAGAGTGGCGCTAGGCCCAAACGACCTTTTACTAATATTCCCAATTCATTCCACCGAGATAGTTGGGAAGAAAGGGTCATGTCCGGCACGCTCACGGCGAGCGGACGAGAGTTGAAGAGCATCGTAGCTAATCTCCTCAGTACTCTTCCTCGAGTTCCCGTGCTTCATCAAGTTCTTCCTGTTCATCGACCAGGATCTTTTCGATCAAGACCAATGTCGCTCGGAGCGGCATGCCGACAACATTGTCCCAAGACCCTTCGATCCGTTCCACGAGAAGACTTCCAAGCCCTTGCATCCCGTACCCACCCGCCTTGTCCGCGCCTTCCCGGGTCTTGACGTAGGCCACAATCAGGTCATCCGTGATATCCGGGTCGAACTTAACGGACGTCTCCTCAACATGTGTCGTCAGCACATATCCAGGATCCATCGCCGTCGTCATGGGCCTCATGATCGCCAGCGCCGTATAGACCTTATGCCATCCAGCACCAGCCCCTCCCACCGCAATCCCCGCGCCAGGATTCATCTCCGAGCCTATCCTCGACTCATCCCGTAAACTCTTCAACACCGCCACATGCTGCGCCTCGCTCCTCGGTTTCTCCAAAATCTGCCCCGCCGCGCTCATCACGATCGTATCTGCCGCGATCACCACCCCGACCTCCCCCCGTTCCCGCTCCGCCTCCACGTTGTCGATCTCCCGCCCGTACACCTCGCGGCATTTGGCGACGGCCGTCTGCAGCACGTAGTCGAAGCCGCCGAGCGACTTGGGGAGGTCCTCGGCGAAGGTTGACGGGATGATCTCGACTTTGGGGAAGAGTTGCGAGAGGATCTGCTTGCGTCGGGGGGAGGCGCTGGCGAGGATGACGCGCTGGGATTTGAGGGCGGCGATAGAGGGGAGCTCGAGGGGGAAGGGAGGACGGGCAACTCCATGAGGACGTGGTGGGGGGATGGTCGGGGTTGTCGAGACATAGGGTGGTGGTGGATCTTTCGCTATGGGGTTGGACATTGTGATGGTCGATTGGTAAGCATATGGAGAGGGGTTTGATCGGCGGAGAAATCGTTGATTGATAATTGGTTCCCTAAGAAGGTGGATATATCGGCATTAATATTAACAATAACCTGATTAATATTTAATACCGTCTGTGTCTGTAATCTGTACGGAGTTTTGATGTATGGTGCTGCATGTGGTCAAAGATAATGTCCGTAACGAATAATGTCCGCAGTGGAACGGATTGGCTGGCACACTGCAGCTGACCTGGACAGGCATATAAGGCATCAATTTGAGCCTGAGCACACACCCCACGAACGTCATACCCCCCATTTCGTCTTCAGCTTCTCAATCTGACGCTGAACAGTCCATTTTATATCGCCTTATTCGGGCTAAGAACTTTCCAATCGTGTCCTAGGCGTTCCACTCACAAATCGGACTCGGGGATAGCCCGGACAATGAGCAATGGACCCGATGAAATCCACCACCAGCAGCTCAAGCTGTGAGGAGCTGGTCGAAAAGAGAAGTGTGCCCGAGATGTGGACGTGGAAAGCATTGGTCTATCCTACCGAGGCAATCTATCGAGACCCTCTTAGCCAGAAGGAGGGTTCAAATCTCGCAATTCTTTCGTAACCGGTCGTATGGTGCTTGATTTGTAATAGAGGGACTTCCTCTGTGCTACCGTAACTTCTATAGTCGCCTCCTGCCCATCTAAGACACCTATATATACTCTGCACGACCGACCTCCTTGCATTCCCCGGCTTACCATAGGCTATCACCCCCATTAAATATCGAACATCGTGGTTATCTTAGTTAAGAACTGGGAATTGATACTTCTAGATTCCAATTGAACATTTTCAACTCCTCAAACTCCTCAAACCTCCACCATGGTCGCCAACAAAGGTCTCATCTTCAAGCAGGTCCCGCAGGGCTACCCTGTCCCAGGCCAGGATCTGGTCGTTGAATCCCGCGAGTTCAACCCCGACACCCCACCGGCCGGTGGCCTCTCGGTCAAGAACCACTACCTCTCCTTCGACCCGTACCAGCGCGGGCGCATGCGAGCCCCCGATATCAAAAGCTACTCCGCACCATTCAAGCTGAACGAGCCCATCACCAACCGCGGAATCAGCACCGTGCTGAAGAGCGACAACCCGAACTTCAAGGCGGGGGATGTCATTGTGAGCACGGACAGCTGCCCGACGGCCGAATATGGGTATCTGGATAAGGAGGTCACAGAGCGGGCGCACGTACTAGACAATCCGTATAAGCTCGACCCGAAGGTTTTCATTGGCGCGCTGGGAATGCCTGGGTTGACCGCCTATTCATCCTTCTACGACATCGGGAAGCCGAAGAAGGGGGAGACGATCTTCATCTCGGCGGCGTCGGGAGCGGTGGGGCAGCTGGTCGGGCAATTGGCCAAGCATGAGGGACTTAAGGTCATTGGGAGCGTTGGTGATGACAAGAAGCTTGACTTCATCCTCAAGGATCTAGGATTCGATTCGGGATTCAATTATAAGAAGGAGAAGCCTGCAGCAGCGCTTGCGCGACTTGCGCCGGACGGCATAGACATTTACTACGAGAATGTCGGCGGCGAGCAGCTCGAAGCAGCAATCGATGCGATGAAAGCCTTTGGGAGAATCGGTACGAACCATTTCATTGGCCCCCATTTCTAATATCTTCCGCTAACAACGGCTCTAGTTGCCTGTGGCATGATCAGCCAATACAACCTGCTCCCCACTGCCGAGAACCCCACCCCGGCCTACCCCATCCGCAACCTCATGCTGATCGTCGCCAGGCGCATCACGTTCCGCGGATTCATCGTCGGCGACGACAACATGGGTCCCGTGTATGCGAAGGAGCATCGCGAAAATGTGAGCAAGTGGATCGCAGACGGGAGCTTCAAGGCGCAGATGTCTACGACTGAGGGCATCGACGGGGCGGCGGAGGGGTTCGTGGGGATGCTGCAGGGGAAGAACTTTGGGAAGGCGGTTTTGGAAATTAGCCCGCTCAAGACGTCGTAGATCGCGAAGGTGTGATGAACGAAGAAAACCTACTGGTTGCTGTGTGTCCCTTCACTCAGGTATTAACGAAAACTTCATTATGATGGTCATCTATAACGAACCGGATGATAAAATCAATAAATCATGGCAATTACGAACTCCATTCATCATTGCCTGCCATGAGTCTAGAACGAATACGAACGATCCCGATAGTCATCGACGCTTGCGATTTCCATAACAAATCATTTGCCAACGATGTGCAAAAATGTCTCTTAGATTGGAATAAGCTAAGGCACTGTCAAGATAGTCTCTGGTATATTGCGAAACTTCACAAACAAACCCCCAAGTGCAGTCAGGTATATGGTCGTTCAGAACGCATCACCCCGTCTTCTCAGGGGCAACCTTCTCTGTCGGCGTACTCGTGCCCGTCTCCTCCACCACCTGTCCATGCACTGGCGTCGGCTTCTTCTTCCCCGTCAGATCCAAATACACCGCTTTCGCCGTCCGAGCCATGGTGCCGCGGCCCTCATAGAGAGGGTAGAGCCCGACGCACACGGTGCTAAAGAAGATCCAGATCATACCGACGACCACCCAGCCGGTGAAGAACTTCTTGCTGAAAATGTAGCCCGAGCCGTACATCGGCATCGGCCACAGCACGAGCATGGACAGCGTCAACGTCACGGTGAGGATGCGCGCGAACTTCGCCGCCTTCGCCAGCTTCACCTGCTCTTCTTCGGTCTTCGCGATGGATTCCCTCCGCCCGCCAGGGATCAGCTCAAGGTCGATGTGCGCGGCATCCGCCAGGTCGTGGTCGTCGGCGCGCCGGATCTCCTTCATGCTCTGCCAGTCGTACTTCTGGGTGCCGAGCGCGTAGGTCAGCACGGGGATGAAGATCATGGGCGAGATGAGCGCGACGACGTTGCCGACCAGCATGGGATTGTTGGCGCCGGTGGAGTCGACGGTGAGGGTGCCGAATTCTTGCTTCGCTTGAACAAGCCAGCCGATGAGGGCGCAGACGAGGCCGAGTGGGGGGGCGAGGGTGGCGGCCCACCAGTTTTGTTGAGACCAGAGGAGTGTGAGGGCGGCGGGGAGGACGGCGGCTCCAATTATGACGCCCATGAGCAGGTAGAGGTAGCCTGTGGATCGGAAGATTAGCTAGTGATTCTAGGATGAATTCAATGTATGGAAAGATCTGCCAGTTCCACTTAGTGACATACCCATGGAGATACCAGCATAGTACAGGCCAGTAGAGAACGCCGCCATGAGGAACGCATAGGCGACAACACACATGTGCGCCGAGTAAATAAGGCGCTTGCCCGAGGCGGCCGGGTTAATGTAGGTCTGATAGATGTCGTAGGTCGCAATGGACGACACGGCGATCAACTCCGCCGACATGGCCGACGTAACCGCCATGAAGATCAGCAGCAGAGTAGCGGCAGCACCTCCCTTGCCAAGCAGTGCAACAGCGGCGCTCGGAAGCACGAGACCGGCGTTCACGTCGGCGGCGGGGAGACGGTCGGGATAGGTAGGGAAGGAGGAGTGGCCTTCGAGCGCCAAGGCTGCCAGTCCCATCGTCGTAGCGGCCAACCATGGGATGGCAAACTTTTGGAGTTAGTTGATTGTCTGCTCGAGTTTGGGAGGAATATATACCCAAGAGAGACCCCCAAGGACGTAGCCTGGAAGGGCATGGACTGGATGGGCAGCAATAGCCTTGTTGTAATATCCATTATCCATGAACACAGTGCCTGCACAACCTAGTTAGCGATAGTTCTAGAGAGGCGCAATTGCTAAAGTTCATCGACGCATCAATATGGCCAGGGGAGCACTGAAGAGACTGAAAAGGGAATCCGGGATGTACGACAAATTTCAAGAACAGGGAACATTGCACTCACCAAAGTTACCTACGATATTGATGACGAAGAAGATGGCTCCTTCGCGCGATCGCATGGTCAGATAAGAGCCTCCCTCATTGCCTTCAACGGGAAACTCCTTGCCCTTCTCGACTAGAATCTCCCATACTTTACCAGGGCTTCCGAGTACATCACTAGTAGCATACGTAGTGAAGGCAAAGGTCATGATGCTAGGATGTTCCGTTAGCTGGTAATTCGTTCGATAGAAACAGCGTTGGGCGAGAGATAGGTGAGAAGGTTTCAGGTCAGGGGTTAGGGCTGTGTTAAAGCAACTCCTTCTCCACTCACATTACGAGAATCACGACCGTGTGCGCATAATCAGTCAAGAACGTCGCTTTAATTCCACCGAACATGGTATAGAGCACAACGCCGATCGGGAGTAGGAAGCAAGCCGCCGCAGTTGGGACACCGGTGAGCGATGTCACGACTGCGGAACCTCCTGTCAGCAGCATGGAAGTCACCAGGATATTTGTCATGAGACCAAACGTGATATAGACAAAGTGGGTGACCTTTCCATAACGTGCCCTGATGACTTCAAGGAAGGTATGTGCGTTGGGAGCGCGGCGCTTCAGTTCGATAGCCAGGGTCGCGAACAGGATGATTTGGACAGTTGCGCCACTGGCATACCAGAAGGGCCCGGAGACGCCACTAGAGCTTGTCAGCACATTTCCTTGGTCTCTTTGTTGCTTGCGTGCCTACTATTTGTATGCGACACCGGATGACTGAAGCAGGGTCGCTGCCCAGGTCCAGGAGGAAACGACAGCTGAGGCAACAAGTCCAGACTTCACCGTTCGACCGGCCGTGCTGAACATTTCGGAGGTTTGGAGCTCATAGTTGTAACGCTTGAGGACGAAGGTGGTCAAAATCATACCAAAACTAATATCCAATTAGTCAAATGCTCTTTGGCGCAAAACACTGTAACAATATGGATCCAAGTGGGTATTTCAGAGCCGGAATATGCATTTTATACCCCAACACTTTCCAAGAGCTTTGATTTAACATGAGTCTAGATCATCGAGCTGTGATCCTTTCGCGATGGCCTTCGGCCCTCCCAAGTCTTCCTTCGTCCACACGCTTAACAGGTCTAAAAACGGACGTAGAGACAGAGACTTGATAGAGGCCCTCGGGGTCTCGCGAAAAGAAAACCGGGTAGTACAGTAATGGGATATGCTGACTTCCAATTGCAACGGATGGCGCCACTTACGCAAACAGGAATCCCAGCCCAATGACAACGCCATATCCGACGCCCTGACTGAGAGGCGGTTCCGCCATGCTGGTACCAGGTAATTCGATGATGACCCGAGTGACCGTGTGGATAAGGAAGCAGAAAGGGACTTCGAAGTCCAAAAGTCTCACGAGTTACACACCGTTCAGTATAGACGGGATAGCAATATTTCAAGATTCCGACAACAAACAAACCGTGACCCACCGGGCGCCGCGTTACTTATAAACTCCACGCGCTTGCAGCGTGATGGCATGGTGATCGGCCAACTCCATGCTCTTTCTCTTTGTCCCCCATGAATATCAGACTGCTCCCCGGGTTACAGTCCCCATGGCGTCACTGTTTCGATTCCGTAAAAAGATAGGCTGCGAATCCAAGACCCAAACTCGCGAAACTCGCATATTCGAGGGTCCAAGGCCTCGAGATCCGGGTTCCACAGAGCCAATGAAGTGATTCGGACACTACGATTTGGATAATCCGTAACGATTTTAGCACAGATCCAGTTTTACTTCTTCTGAATCGTTGATTCCCATTCGGAGGGTTAATCAGTGGCGTCGCTATATCAAATCTGACACTAGGGCGTGTTCTTGGCTTGAGATATCAACAGAGCCCTCGTGGGATGTTGGCTGCCCGCCGAAAGGAAGACCCAGGTGCGATCCAGGCGAGGAGGCTATTTGCACGCGACATGCCGGATACCATCTTCGCATCGAGATATTGAGGCGCGCTCCACGGGATTGTGCATGACTGAAGCAAGGGTATCGTGCATACGAGCTGATAAGGATCCAAGACTCAAGCTGGAGAGCCACTCATTGGATCGCTGATCGATCGACGCAAGTTCAGGGCATGGCAGATGCCGGAGAAACACGCTTACCTGTATCCTTGGCTGTAATTCAGAGAGTGGGAAAGAGATTGACTTTGAGATAAGCTCATGAGAGATTGTCAACAGAGTTTAGTCAAAAGACAAAATTAACACTTTGTGGCTGGCGCCAAGAGCAGGCAACCCATGACTCCCATGAGGGCCATGACTTGTCGTTCACCACCTACGCCGCTATCCGATGGGGTTCGGAGCTGGACAACCCCTGCGGGCTGCGACTTCGCACCTCCTGAGTCCTTATTCCTAAGAGATTCATGTTGAAGGTATCTCGAAGCAAGCAGGGTTCTCACACTCACAATGCATGTGAGTTCATTACGGAACTGAGCAAAGGATTCGTGCTAGAAAACACCCCCTGACATTCGCTATTTCTCAACTCTTGTCTCTGAACTCTGAAGCATGGCTGATGAAATGAACATATTAGGTATATGATTCCCATCCTGATAACAGTGCAGCTCGCTCGTGCGCCACATCAAAAGCGCAGTGTCGGGCGAGTTCGGAGAGTGTTGTCCTTTGGTTTGTTTCTGCCTTTCACGCTCACTCAATCGTCCTGGTAGGACTTTTTTGGTTTCATGGCCTTTCGAGCAGTACTAAATTATGGTCGTTGTCACTTTCTCTGCCTTTTCGAAATTTTGGGATGTTCTTTGGGGGAGCATTGGGCTCTCCCATAAGCCGTCTAGATGTCAAGCTGGGTCCAGGCTGGCATTTCTTTTGTTATATTGCTGTTTAGGAGGCGCGTCCATACATATATGTAGCCCCTGATACACACCTTCAGCTGCGACGCGATGGACCATGGAATGAAACAACTGAGAAATTACAAACAACTGGTACTTAGTCGAGCCAGTGATTTGGATGATACATTTTCTATCATTTACAATCAACTCTCGCGAAAAGAATATTCAACCAGGTCTGAGACCAGTATGATCCATAGACAATATCTATTAATATATTGTGATTACAAATACGGAATACGAGGTCACCAAATAAAAGGAGGAACATGATTGGCTTAGTAATGGAGCTAGCATTATTCGAGCATCGCACCAGTCGAAAGTAGAAAGGCGTGATTCGTGTTTTGCTTGGATTGGGGTGACCGCGATGCCGTTTTGGGACACCGAGACGACCTCAACCTTTTATCTCCTGTTCAATGTTTTCGTCTTCTTCGTTTGTCTCTCAAGATTCCAATTCACAGGTTGCCCTGCGGTGCTATTATTTCATTCATTCAACGCGTTTTATGCTCGAATGAGATGAAAAGAAGGATCGTTCATTTGCTACTCAAGCTACCAATACATTACTGAACGAGCCACCGGTGGTCACAAGACCTAGACACTGATGAACTTCCCTTGGTCTGTAATGAGAAGCCCAGCGATGGTTGCGGAGCTCAGAGTGCTGAGAACACCAGTGATGAGCGAGCTGACCGCAACTCGGCTGACATCACCGCTTCGGCTAGGGGAGATTTGAGAGAGCACACCGATCTGAATACCCAAAGACCCGATGTTACCGAATCCGCACAGAGCGTATGTCGCAATGAGTTTAGAGCGGACGGCCATCGCAGCATATTGCGGGTATTTCTCGGGGTCGACGAGGCGGGCGTAGGCGACGAACTCGTTCTGTCACGATGTAAATATCTGGACTGACGCAATGCTGGCATAGGACGGGAATACTTACAGCGACGATCTTGACACCGACCAGTTCCCCGACTCGGAGTAAATCACCTCGCGGGACGCCCATCAGGAAAGCAACCGGATAGCAAAGGTATCCGAGGATGAGTTCCAGAGTCAGGTCTGGGTCGTGGATGCTCAAATAACGGCCCCACCAGGTTAAGAGACCATCGATCAAGCCAATGAGGGCAATGATGCAAAGAATCGTGCACAGAATCATGCCTGCGATCTTCAAACCTAGCCAAGCACCGTTGGCAAACGAGTGAAGGACGTTCGCAGCTTTGTGCTCGTCGTCGTCGGGAATAACTACCCGCCCAGCGGTCAAGGACTCCTCCTCTTCCGGATATCGTAGCTTCGAGGTGGCTAGCGATGCCGGAATCGACATGACGCAGCTGGAGATCAAGGCCTGAGGGGAGACACCCATCGAAATATATGCGACGAGCACGGAACCAGCAATCGTGGCGAAACCAGACGTCATGATTTGATGGATTTCTGCCACCGTCATGTGCGCAACGAACGGCTTTACCAACATGGCGGATTCACCCTGTCCGATGAAGGGGGAGGCGGCCGCAACGACGGCTTCGGCTCCAGAGACGCGCATACTCCAAAAGAAGAACACGGCAAATTTACCGATGAACCACTGCAGAATACCGAGGTAGTAGAGGACCTGTACAATCGAGACGAAGAAGATGATAGCAGGAAGCACACCGCTGATGAACCAGTGCAACGGAGGGACAGTATCGTCTGTCAAGAATTCGACACCTTTTTCGGCAAATCCAAGGAGCTCGCGAGCCAAGGTGGAGATGAAATCGAAGATATCGTAACCGGCCTGAGTTCGGAGGACGAATAGGGCGATGATGAACTGCATCAGCATACCCACGATCACGGTGTGCCATTTGATGGCCTTTCGATTTCGGCTGGTGAGCCAGAGACCGAAGATGATCACAACCAGACCGAACAAGCTGACGGCCCTGTTTTCTCGCGTATTGTCTTCGGTTTCCTCAGAGGCGAAAGAACCGACAAGGATCACGGCAATGACCAAAAGCGCACCGAGAGGGATCTGGAATTTCTTTGGAATCAGATCCGCAAATCGGACACCCGTGTTGTTCCAGATGAGGTGCATCGGCTTCGAAATGATCGTGCTGGGGATATAGAAGAAGAGCAGACGGAGCGAGATGGCGAGCCACAGAAGGAAGGGGATGAGCCAATTCTTATCCTTCCGGTGAAGGACGAGACCTGCTATCCACCAGCTACATCGCCATTCGTAAGCACTTCTTCTCTAACTGGGGTTTGAATAGCTTCGAATCGCAAGTCGTGGGATGGACTTACCCGGTGAACACGACGAAGACAGCGATATGAGCGACGAATCGGTACTTGGCATAATACAGAGCAAATAAACTCTTCTTCCGCTCTTCTTCGGTCTCAGAAGCGGGCTCCTGTCCTTCATATTCGCCCTTCTCGGCATCATATGCCACGCCGCCATTCTTTTCGGCCGCCGCTTTCTCGCCGAGAGTCCGCTCGATAGGATGTCGCTTGTGCAAATCATGCTCCAGAGGGCTCGGGTCGGGGATAGCCGACTTGTCCACCGTCGTTCCTGTGGTATACATCACATTTTCATCTTTCGACACCGCACGAGGGTCGTGATGCAGGTGTTGGTGGATATGCTCGTTGGCGTAGTCCAGAGCTGGGTCGGGGTTGGGGGATACGCCCCGCTGAGGGGACATATTGTGACGATCGTCCGATGCCATTGTGGAACGGAACACAAGAAGATGTCGATCGAAGAAGCACAAAGACAACCTGTCAAGGTCCTCGAGGCTCGAACCGTTTCCTATATCCACTCGATTCTTGCCGGCCGGAACGTCAATCGCTAGCGGACCCTCTCGTTGGGATGTGTGAAGGAGTCGGAAAATCTTGGTGCTTAAGAGCGACAGCGAGACACGAGCACAATATGTATGTCTCATCGGACCGCGCCGATAGATGCGCACCAACGTTCCATCACCCTTCCCGTCCACCTCGAAGGGCTGCAGACGCAAAAGCAAATGACTGGCCAACCACACGATATCAGCAATGTGCGAGCGGGAAACCCAATCTTAGCAGCTTCCCATCCTAGCAGTAGTCTCCGCTAAGTCCACCAGGGTCTCGTACGTACTACAAGCGACCCAGCCGTTGGTGCTACGACGATGAAATACTACCAAAAACCAGGGCATCTCGACCGAACTAGCCGGCGTGTCGACCCTGGGGAAATGATATCTCAGGGTTGGGACTGTCCATTGGCCTAAGTGGATAAGAGCGTTAACCGTTAGCCGTGATATGTGGAGGCCAGATTTTTCTAGGGCCTAGGCAGACCCAATGGGAGTGAGATCAGAGCCGATTGATAAGGATCAATCCCTCAAAGGTCGAAGGATGATCGATCGACATTGCTGCTTATTCGTATCCTAGCGCGGAGGTTGAATCGGCCAATGAGGTGTCGGAGTGTGTCGCAGAATCATCGCAGTGCATCGCAAGCCTCTCGATTCCTTTCTCACTCACAGGAGTACGGAACTGATATTGAATGATATGCCAAATGCCTGAACCTTTGCATTTGCAGCAAAGATAGCTACCAACGTTAAAGTGCTTCAAAGGTATGTGGCGTCCCCCGCTAATCTTGTCTTGCCTAGCGTCGGCTTGGTGTCTTGGTGATGAGCTGGTGGCTTGGAGCAAGGCTAGGGCCTCGTGCTTTTGATCCGCATCCATCAACTTTCGACCTTCCTGTTCCATCCATCTACCAAATCCTCTCTATCCTCCATATCCGTTCCTCAGTCCCCAGGCACTTTGATCATTGGAGCCGCCCTCTACCGCTGCGCACTGACCCTAATTACCCCAGCTTAATCATGTTTGTCCTCGTGCATATTTCCCTCTCATGGCCCGCAAGGATAGGAGCTCGCCTATCTATTTATTATCGTTTGGTTCTCTGATCTCTCCTCTCTGGCCGACTCTGGGAGCCGTCTAGGCAGACGATATAGTCCGTGCTGACCGATGGGAAACCTTCGATCCAACCGGACGGCGAGTAGCTACGTATAGGCGGGAGGGAGCAGAGATTCCTGACTGGGTATCTGGAACGAATCTGCGCCCTTGAGACCATCTCATAACGCCGCATCACAATGTTGAAATGAAACCGTCCCAGTTTGCAAGCCATCATGTCCCAGGCGCTGGGCAGGACCTAGTGTCTGGGGGGAAGTATCGGGCAGGTTTACATAGGTAGGCACATTAATCTGTCTCTTCGTAGAGAGCTCTCAGCTATCGTATCATTGGCATTCTGACACTTGTCCTATGTACGCTACGTCAGAATGCACCCCTGACCAGTAGAAATATTCCGAATTCTGGGGTTCGAGACGACCTGAGCATAATGCGTCCCGCAACCCTACGTCTAGTTTCTCACGCAGCTGTCTCGAGCATCGGAGTAACCGCGATGCCATCTGTTCCTGCGCCATCCATAGGAACCTCGTCGCCCTCAGCAGTCACCGCTGCCTTGTCGCTCATAGCTCCAGGCACCTGTACATTACCCTGGTGTGCAAGCCCATCATCTACCGCCCTCCCCCCCTTCAACAACCGCGCTTCCAACAACTCCTCAAACACCACCTCTCTCACCCCCTCATCTTCCTCCTCCTCTTCCTCATCCGCTTCCACGTCCTCAAACCCACTAAACACCCGCTTCCCACCCACGAACCGCTTCGTCGTGCGCGGCACGTAGTTCGCCGCGAGCCGGAGAACCACCGTTCCATCGGCTTCGACAGCCTCGATCCGCGCGGAGCGATAGTCGGAGATTGTGGGCGCCCATTTCGTGGCTTCAGAGCAATCGAGTTGCTTGAAGAGGACGATGGTGCCGGGGGAGAGGTGGGCTTTCTTCAGGACGGGATACTTGGCGACGTGTCGTGGCACCGTGGGGATGGAGAAGTCGCCGCGGACGCGGGTGACCTTGACTGTTTCTTCGTGGTCCGCTGCGGGTCCTTGCAGATGTGGTGCGGGCTCGGCGTCGTCGTAGTATTCGTTGTGGTCGTCATTGTAATCGTCGTTGTAGTGAAGCGAGTTGTCCGGGGGCTCATCTGCATAGTCGGTCCCTGGGCCAGTCCCTGGGCCATACGCGTCGTGATCGTCCCCGTAACTGTTCCGCGTATTTCGCTTGCGTTTCTTCGATTTCTTGCTCTGCGAGTGCCATCCCTCATATTGCGGATCCCAGAGGTTCCTGAACGGGTAGGGCGGGGTGGACAGCTCGATTCCCTCATCCACGCACTCTACAGCATCTAGGTCGATTTTCTTCTTCCATTCGTCCGAGTGGGGGTCCACTGGCGGCTCGGATTCTGCACCTGGGGTTGTAGCAGCTGTCTCAACGTCGAGCTTTTGCTTGAGTTTGGCGAGGCCAGGTCGCTGCGCCTGGGCCGCAAGCTTCGCTCGCGCTTCTTTCTCTTCTTCGGGGGTTTTAGGGGTTCTGATGCCGAGGGAGCCGAAGAGGAGGCGGCGGGATCCGGCGATGTCAAGTCGTGATCGCTTGGGTGCGGACTCTTCTGGGCTTGATGAGGTTGGTACGGCAAAAGATTTGCCAGCTTCAACTGCTTTGGAGAGAGGGGTCACAAGAGGAGTGCGCTCGATGGGTGTCTCACCATTGACTATCGAGGCATTTGAGCCAGATAGCTCGAAGTCATGCGTTGACCCATCTCGACTCTTCCTGGACCGTGTAACGATTTGCGGCTCCAAAATGGCCATAGCAGAGCTGTCGGCAACGTCGTGAAGGTGACTGTCGTCGACTGAGACGCCATCGGCTACAAGGCTGCCATTAGCCGTTGGACTGTGATCGGCTGGTTTCTCCTGAGAATCGGGCTTGAACTTCTCTTTCTTCGCCCTCTCCTTTTTGTCCTTTTTCTTTTTCTTCCCTTTGCCATCCGCTCCAGCGGCTTCTTCGGGTATTTGAGCAGATTTGCTCTCTTGTGGCTTCACTCCTTCCGCCCCCCCTTCGATTGCATCCATATCGGTAGCCTTGTCTTTCTTCTTATCCTTCTTCGTTATGCTGGACTCGGAATTTCTAGACGATAAAGCGACAGTCATGGCCGCATCTTGTGGCTTAACGATCGGCTCTTCAGAGGGAGCTTCAGAAGCGACATCATCAGACACATCATTCATTCCCTCCGTTTCCTTCTCTTCGTCGATATCCTTGTGGGGTTCAGTTTTTGATCTCTCTTCGGGGTCAGACTCGAGGCCAGTAGTAGAGGGTGTAATGGAACTTGTGGTATGCGCGGTATTGGCAATCTCATTGCGTGGTCTGCAAATCCCACCTGTCTTCATGTCCGAGATGGTAGCATCCGGGTGAATGAGACCTTCATCTTTGAGCTGGCGCAATCTTCGACTATCTCGCTTTCGCGCATTCCGCGATTGAGTCTCCGGTTTGCCTGCTCCAGGCAGAGTATGGGTGCTCGCTACAGGCTGCGGAATCTTCGTGGTCTCTTGCTTTAGTACTGTACCTTTCTCCATTTGTTGAGGCGTCTTCGATTTGGCCGATGTCGTGGCGGTAGGGGTTGCGGCATTGTTCGTGGGAATTTTCTCTCTCACAGCCTGTGACCGCCTGGATAAACTCGCAACCAGGCTCGAAAGTGATCCGTCTGAATCGTCTGAATCGTCTGAATCGTCCGAGCTTGAAGAAGAACTCGTTGTAGCGCTTGATTCTGAGCTACTGAGATCACTTTCAGTCTCCGAAAGAAGTGATGATGGTTCGTTCTCGGAGTTCTGGGAGTTCTGGGAAAGCCCAGTGAGGGCTGGGGAGTCAAGTTCGAAGTCTAAATCGTCTTCTTCGTCCTCATCATCCTCGCTTCCGAATAGAGCAGTAGCTGTATCGAATCGGACAGACTTGAGGCTATCCGGCCGCTTTCGTTTTCCTAGTGTTGATGCAGCCTCATGGCTTTCCACGGTCTCATCAACAGTACCCTCTTCAATCATTCCTCTAACGGCCACATCGTGTTCGTCATCGGATATCGTCAGTTCTTCGCTTTCAGTAGGCGTAAGATGCCGGTGCTTTCTCGAAGGAATGTGGAGGGCAGGACGCCTTGGTTGTCGAATGTACCGTCGCCCGAAAGGAATACCATCAACCAGATGGGCGCCAGCGACAGAGATCTGATGACGACCAGAAAATTGTCTGGCTCGGTACTCTGAGGTCTCTAAAGGTCGGATACTATATAACAAGTTAGATCTTCCCATAATAAGCGATTCACACGCATGTTGAGCAGAACTTACATTACCGTGTCTTCGTCTTTGAAGACCTCCGTCACGGCCCTGAAATGTAAACACTCAAAGCCGTCCAGCTCCACAACATAATCCTCCAGTCCCCAACTGCTAGACACCAGAGGAATGATTTCGTTGACCCGTTCTAAGAAGCCCACAACACTACATGGCACTCCATTAGCTGCCTCTGCGACGGTCCAGATCACATTCGCAGGCGGCAGTTTGTGCCTGCTGATCCTGAGTCGTAACCGCATCTTCCTCGAAGCAGATAGCAATAATGTGTTAGGCCATAGAGCTACTAATTCTGCGGATTGTAACCAGCAATAGCCAATAAAGTATGAAACGTGGTGGAGCTTGAAGCGCGTCGTTTGATAGACGCGGAAGTGGTGTTGCGGTCAAGTGAGAGATGCGGAGGAGGACCGTGAAAGTTTTTGTGGGTCCAGAGAGGGAAAGTGTGGCTCGTGGCTAATGTAGTGTGTGGCGCGTGTGTGGCGCAGCGCGCGTCCCTACCTCCGTCCGGTTCGCGCCTTCCCTGTTGCATGTCCAATGATCCGAGGATCACCCGTCCACCGATCTCCGTCATTCGAACTTGAATCGGCTCCGCTGTGCGAAACAATGCGCAACAGCCTCAATTTCACCGTCCCCTCCTACCATCGTCTTTGGACTATTCCGCTTCAAATCCCCACTGAGAGGTATGCGGGTGAAGTAGATAAGGCTGAAATACTCTTTTCCTTGATACCTCCTCCCCTCGTACGAGCCTGCCCTCCTTTCCCACCACCCTCCGACCTGTTACGAGCCATCCGAACGACGATATGGCTACCGCTCCTCCCAATCGACGCCTGTCTACTCGAGTAGCTCGATCATCAGCTGCAAAGCCTGCGAATTACTATGGACGACAAGCTGCGGCCGCCGAGCCGCCTCCGCGACCGGATAATCCTCCTGGCTTCTTCCCAGCCATCACCCACTTCACCAACTCGGTGGCCATGCTACCCGAAGAAGTCATGAAACATTTCTCCATGCTGAAAGAAGTCGAGTCGAAATCATACGGCCCGGATCATGAACTGAAGCTGATTGCTGAGGCTATCACGAAGCTCCCAGCTCCGATGTCGCGATACTCGCAGCCGGCGGCTGGCAGTGCGAGCAACGGAAGCGTGAATCCGAGCGCAAATGCAAGCGTCAATGGATCTGTCGACGTTGCGGGGACGCCGATGCATACTCAAGCGATCGCGAAAACGCTGTTCAACTCGGCCAAACCACAACCGGCCTTGGACCCTGGAACAGACATGAACCGGACACAGTTGATGCATCGGATGTGCTTTGCGATCAATCACATGGCTCCGATCTTGGATGAAAAGATCGCGGTACTCGGCGCGGCAAATGTTACGCTCTCCAGGCAACTCGAGCGGATCGACAGCTCATTTCCCTACATCGAGAACGAGATCAGCGAAGAGGCGCGATTAGGAAGCCTCACACACTGGGCATTGCAGAATAAAGAGGCCAAGAAGCCGGTTGCGAACGAACGCCCAAGGCGTGAGGGGGCTAGCAACACAAATTATGCCGTATACCACGATGATGCGGCTGCGTCGAGAAGCGAAGCGCGGCGAGGAACCCTGCTCGCGAAGAAAGGCCGAGGGCAGCAGCAGCAAGACTCCGACTTCGATGACCGATACCTCCATAAAAAAGCGACCACGAATAGCCGCGTCCGCAAAACGGCAGATGCAGGCGATAAAGTCGTGGGGTTGGGCATCACAGGTGCGGCGGCCAGTCAGCCCGCCAAGCGACGCAAAACCGAGAAAGGTGCCGCCATGGCCTCCGCAATGGAGCGATCGACCAGCGGGCAAGGGGGGCCTCGAGGAGGTGCAATGTCACCTCGTGAGCCTGCAGCGGTGGAACCGCCGAAGAAGAAGCCGAAGCAAGCACCCGGACCGCTTCGCAAACGAGCGGCGGCTGGCACGGCCGCATCCCCCCGAACTGCGTCGTCCCCTCTCCAAGGAACGTTCGCAGTCAAGGATGCGCCAACATCGAGTCGTCCGGTGGGAAGGGGACGGCAGAACTCGCAAACATCGGCGCAGGTCGCCCTCGATAACGCGGCTCGCAATCGGCCTGCGTCGTCCGCCTCCAATCTCCCGTTGACCGCTCCCACAAGCCAACCCGTCAAACCCGACGGCGCCTCTCACACCGTGTCTCCACCCATCGTCACCGCCGCCCACATCCCCATACCCAACGCCAACGCTCCGTCCACCGCCCCCGAATCCTTCAAGCGCGAAGAGCAAGAACCCGACGTCCCCGCCGACGTCCCAATGACCGAAACCGAACCTCCCACCTCCGTCCCCGCCGTCGCCACCGCGACGCGCACTCGTGCATCCAAAACCTCTACACCCGTGACCTCGACGTTCCCTGCCGACGTCAGTGGCGCCGCACCCGCCACCGGAGCAGGTGCATCCGGTCGCGCGAACAACAAGAACAACAGCAGCACGAACAGCAGCCACGCGTCCTCCGAGTCTAACATGCCGCTCGCTGCCACCGCGCGGCGACGAAATGCGCGGAAGCGACGGGACACTGACGGGATGGAGGTGGACGAACGCGAGCCGGAGAAAGAAACGCCGGTGGCAGAAGCCGCGGTGGTGGATTCGCATGAAGAGGTGGAAGAGGAAGAGGATGAGGATGGCGACGAGCCGAGATATTGCTATTGTAACCAGGTCAGCTATGGGGAAATGGTGGCGTGTGATAACGAGAGTTGTAAGCGGGAGTGGTTCCATTTGAAGTGTGCGGGGTTGAAGGAGGCGCCGACGGAGTCGACTAGTAAGTGTTTTTCTCTATTTCTCGTTACCTATGGGTATGTTCGACTATTCTGGTGCTGACTTGACTTTCAGAGTGGTATTGCGATGAGTGTAAGGCGACGATGAAGGAAAATAACAGGAGAAGCAGACCGGCGAGCAGGCAGTGAGGCTGATACGGAGATTGCCTCACCTTAGAATCTTGGGCGTTCCTTCAAATATATACACACGGTGCATACTTAACACCATGCCATTGATCTCAAACCCCTAACGAAGATATTCATTTCCCACTCCAAAGAGAAATGCCCCCAGTGCGACTCGAACCTGTGACCCAATCCCCAACCCCTTTCCCCCTGAAAGCCTTCCCCGAACGCCCCTCCAGAGAGCAAAACCATAAACCCCCCCCACCCCAGGGAGGAGATAGAACCGCCACTATCTCGGAGGCTCCGTGGTTTTTCCATCTAAACACCGGTTTAAAGGCGCGATGGTCCAACTTGTCAGGCTAGTCTTGGTTTTTCAGCCGTACTTGATCGGTGTCGGTTGTGAAACCAGCGTGACCATTTCCACGGGGAGTTAAATTGATCAGGTTGAATTATGTACAGTCAACCTTCGCTATAACGATTGAATCCGTACAGGCGAATCCAATCGTTATAGCGGTGGTTGACTGTAGCGCATTTAATTGGGGCAGGAGGGGCATGTGATTGGAATTCACTGGTTGCTTTGTGTTCATGTGTTTATGAAAGGGGGGTTACTCCGTACTTGGATGGGCTGGTCGGTCTGGTGTTATGTAAAACGGTATCTGTAGTAGTTAACACAGTGCTTGTTTGCACTTAACAAGACTTGAGAACGCCAATTAGGAGGAACTGCTTTGTCCTGATAAAGAGGTGTTCTACTCCCAGCGATTAGGCAACAGCTGCATCGCGCCTTGTAGAGGTAGCGTCCATACCATATGTTCCACCACCGCTAACCGCTAATCCAACGTAGCATCTAGCTCTATGTGGAATACGAAGGTTTCCCGTGAAGTGCTGCTCAGACCTTGGCTCCGTCATCGCATCAAGACAGCCTCACATCCTCCCTTCTTAGCTCATACCGCAAATCTTCACATCAAACAGCATGCACTCCCCTCACCACCTTCACCCAACCTTCATCCCCCCAAACGCCCGATCTAACTCCTCCCCCTCCCTCCCCTCTCCCTCCCTCCGATCCACCACTTCCACCCCATGCACAGCCCCTCCACCCTCCTGCTCCCCCGCCCCCGACCTCTCCGGCACCAGCAGCCTCTCCTCCGCATCCAACCACCCCGGCGCAACCCTCCTCTTCTCCGCTAGCTCCCGCTCCCGAATCCCTTGCTCCCACCCCCTCACCGCCTCCTCCGCCTCCCGTCTCTGCGCATCCAGGTGCGAGACGAGCGCTTCGCAGGACGCAAGGATCGAGCTGGGGTGGGCGGCGTGGCCGGTGGCGTGGGAGATGACGTATTTGGGCTGGGGTTGGGGTTGGTCGGTTGGGGAGGCGGAGGGGGAGTCAAGAATGGAGGGGGGGAGGGTGGACGGGAGGGTTTTGTAGGTGTATGAGAGAGTGGTGGCGGTGGGGAGGTTTAGGAAGGGGGAGACGGTGAGTGGGAGTTGTTGGAGAAGGGTATGGTGGCCTGGGAGTTCGTGTTAAACACGTTCGAATAGATGGAGAGATTGAGGATGGAACGTACGATTTTGTGCCATATTGTGGCTCTTGAGCATTCAATGGCTTGAAACTCCAATGTAGACTCTCGTGAAGCTATCGTCCAGTCGACTTGACGTATACTCTATCGTCCTTTAAAGAGACCAACTCCGGAGACGTAAACTTGGAGAACCGGAGAATCCTGTCCGTATCTCCAACCTTTCATTTCTTCATCAAATACATATTACAGCTGAGGGTAGCGTGTACTGTGTAGTATCAGATGTTAATGGTGATGATGATGGTGAGTTGCGTTTGCGGGGAACGTCGGAGGTGATCGCCTGGCCCCACAAAAAGTTTGCGATGTCGTACCATCTGGATGTGCACCTTCCTCCGTTCACTGGTGCATCACGATCGCTCTTTCCTTGCTTTCACATGAGTTTTAACGTCACCTTCATCACTCTCTTCCTCTTCATTTCTCTCTCACAGATCCATCTCTTTCACCTTTCACCTTTCACCTTTAGTTTGCCTCCGAATGCTGCCAGAATAAGTACTAGACTCACTCCACTCTTCCTCGCCCGTATCATACCGACCCATCCATTGTCTAACTGACCCGCATTTACAATGAATACTGTAGGTAGCCTTCCTGCAGGTTATACAATGCATAGCTAAACAAATCGTAGATCAGATCCGTTGGGTACATACCCCCTGCCTTTCGATGCTGTGAGAATAGCGCACTAACTCCCATCGCTGGATAGCTACGGCTGGGCCTTCCTCGTCGCCGGTATGCCTCCCACATCTCCCTTCATCTCCCAGCGCATCGCTCTCCCCATTACTTCCCTCCGCTAACCCTCCCCCCCCCCCAGCCGGCGCCGGGTCCTACTACTTCGCGAAACGCAGCATCAACGAAGAGCGCGAAGCGCGCCAGACTTCCGATCGCGAGCGCAAATTCCACGAGCGACAAGCGGCCCTCCGGGAGGAAGAACGGCAGATGAGGTTGTCCGCGAATAGCACCGCCAACGCCGCGAAGAAAGACACGTTTACCGAGCCTATGGATCCGAGCTACGAAGCGATGCGGGACCCGGCGCCGACGAGGCATGCGCCGACCACTGATGACGAGCGGGTGAATGAGAAGAGCAAGTTTGAGGCGAGCGAGGTATTTCACGCCAAGAAGGGGAATCGGTTAACAGGGTTTCGGTAGGGTAGGGGGTGAGGCTATGGGCTGGGAGCTCCGCATTCAGAGCGCTCTCGTCGTCACTAGTTGGGGTTGTAAATACTCAACACGGTGGCAGAGGCTACGAAATATGCATCATCGGCGTCATGTGGGCGTCCTAACGTTCAAATCCTAACCATGGCTCACTTCTCCTTGATCACACTGCGACAAATGGTAGTGTTCACTGCTCGACTCCTTCCGACTTATGTATTGTTTGCTCTACATTCTTCTCTATACCTAAGTCCAAAAATCTCTGAGTCATCCTCGTTCATCTCAGTCTAGCACACTAGTTGAGGTTGTGAGCTACCCGAGCTGCCCGAGCTGCCCGAGCTGCCCGAGCTGCCCGAGCTGCTTGAACTGTTTGAACTGCCTGAACTGGGTGAGTTGGGTGAGCTGCTTGAGCCGCCTAGGAATCCCTCATATCCCTCCTGCCTAGCATTCGCCACGTCCACCGTGTATATCCCAAAGCCATTGTCATGGAAGCTAATCCGGCCGTTCACGTCCGTGACCGGTGCGGGGCTTTGCTTGCCTTGCGCGTATCCAAGAGCGAGGCTATCGACCGTGGCAGGATCCTGGGATGCTGTCGTCTCTGCATCTTGTTCCCAGTTCCAACATCTATATTAGGAGTGTCAGTGAGCTGTGATGATCCAGTGACCTTTGCGCAGAAAATGGAAAGAGGCGGGGAAAGGCTAGGAAACGAGCACCGGAACTTACCCTTGACATTGGTAGACCAACTCAAAGTGAGTGGCGTTCACTTTATGTGAAATTTCTGTCAACGTTGCGTTTCCACCATACGGATCCGGCAGAGAATACTCCCTATCCAACCCCTCATGTCAGCACTCCGTTCATCGTCCAGAACAAACCATACTCTGCCCAGCCGCCCGATCAACGAAACAGGAAACTCACGTCGCCCATCGGAAACTCGTCGTCACTTTATCTCCGTCCGCCCACGCCAGAAGGAGCAGGCTGTTTGTCATCGGCCCCTTATGACTGATCCCAGACCAGCCGCCCTTCGCCCCTATCACACCGACCTACCGAAAACTCTGTCAGCGCTACTCCCATGCGATCGGAAATTCGGATGCATCTCCGCAAGACACAGCGAACTTCAAGACGTACCAGTCGGCCGATATACTCATCATTCTTCGCGCTCCCGTCCGGTGGCAGCGCGATGCCAAACTCATAACCCCCCGTGCTCGCCACCTTCGTGTTCCTACCCGCTCGTCAGCAATTTTCCTCCCCTAACGAGACCGGATGGTGTACCAGAACGAAATTTGCGACGTCGCGTCGGTGAACGCGCTTCCCTCCGCCTTTTGCGCGCCCGCGAGCGATGTGGCTGCGATGCGATTAGCGTCGGACGAGTGGATCACGAGAAGACGGCCGTACCAAAGGACAGGAGGCAGACTGCCTGGCTGAGTGAGTTGAAGAGGCCCATTCTCGGAGATCAACAGCGACATACAACTTGTGTCAAGACGAGCGAACAGCACACACAGCACGAAGCGAAAGGACGGTGGACGTCGCTCTTTTGTGATGGACGACATTGCAATTTCACCGAGATTTGGATTAATTATCGTTTTCAGGAACGGGTGGCACGGACGCTGCTTGCATAATGGCGAACGACATAGTAGTGCTGCAGCAAGGCGATATGGCCGTCGTCATATTCATTTGAAGGTTGTATACTTGCGTGTTTTATCGTGAGGGCAGGCGAATCAACGGGCTTGGCTCGATGACGTGAAACGATCGTTCGGAGAAAGATGTCCGATGCAGCGAATTGAGCGGCGGGTATTTGTCAGGACAAGGAGTTGTCCAGGCAGATAAGGTTTATATCCCTAGGTTCGCGGGTGCAGAGTGGTGTACATATTGTGACTGCAGGAGATATATTGATGGCGATGGTGGTTGTAGATTGCTCCAATCAGGGCGACTGTGGGGCCGATTGGGAGTTCCTAAAGTGGTTAGCACCGATTCAATCTGTTGCTCGACTTGACCTCGTTCATCGGAGGGAGGCAATGGATGGTATCGTAAGGCATATCTCCATATGTACAACTTCGGGATTGCCTTCTGGCTATCCCATATTACATGGCTACGGCATTGCGGCGTGATCTATATACATCTCATCATGAACGACGCCGCCATCTAGAGCTCAAGTAGGCCTGGAAACAGCCCAGTGGGTTCAAAAATGTATGCACACCATGTATAATATATGCATTAGTGTGACCAAACCCCAATCATCCCATCCTAGGCTAGTCATAAAGTCTTACAATTCATCGCACCACATCCGATCGGAACACCCACTCCTCGCTCCCCTCTCGATTATCCTCCTTGCTCGAATAGCCCTCATACGGCTTCGTTGACACCGTCAGCTCCACGTCTTTCTGAATATGGATCGACTCCGGATCGTTCCCGATGCTCCGGAACCCGCGCGAGCTGACCAGCGTTGAGGACTTCTGGCCGTAATTGTTCGTGTTGCTCTTCACCAGCGACGTGCCCCAGGCGCGCGGGAACATCCGCACCATCAGCGGCCGCAGCGCCGGAAGGCAGCTGAAGACGACGCCGAGGTTCACCTCGATGGCGAGGACGATGCAGATGAGGGCGCCCCAGTAGGTTTGGTCCCAGGAGGAGAAGAAGCGGCCCATCACCCAGATGCGGCATCCTCCGGCGATGGTGACACTGTTCTGGTCAGCGCTTAGAAGTTTTTAGATGGGGTGGTCGAGGCTTACACTACGCCAAGAGAAAAGCAGGAAATCAGACTGATCCGCTGCCGCCGGCTCATCTGGACCCTCCAAAGGTAGTTTGCGGGGTACAAGTAAATCAAGCAGTCCGTGACGGAGTTAATGCCGGCAGTGATCATGAAGAATATTTTTGTATCCACGCAGTTCTTCTCGCTCATAGGGGTAAAGACGTCCCACGTAGAATTCATCGGGCTACCAGGGATTAGCCACTGGCAGAGGAATCAGGTTTGAAGCACCTACATGCACTGGAAGACCATTACAAGACATGTTGATATTCCCCAGCCAATCATGATACCGATGCACCCCCAGTTGATGTATTTGTTCGTCTGGGACGGGAAAAGTCTGACACTCCAGTTAGCCAGATATAAAGTTATAGATGGGCTTAAAATACCTCAGATACGTCAGACAAATAGATATCTTGGTGAGTGCGCAGGCGGGACCGAATAAAGCCATGGTTACCAAGGTCAACTGTTATCCGGTCAGCAGCGCATTCTTTGGCCGCAGGACAGAAGATATTACCTTGCCAATCGCAGGTAGGTTTGTCAGTGGAACATCGTAGAGATGACGTCCAATCCCAATTTGCGGCGCATATAAGTGACATGATGTCATTGCAGCGCAAATTATCTACGATATGGTCAGATTGCGAGAGATCCTGTATACACGGCAGCGCACGACTCACGTATGCTAGCAACATCACCCAGTCATCAACCCCGAGTGCATTCTTCACGAGCATCGTGCGCGAGATGAACCGGCCCGCGATAAACATGGTCATAACAGCGAGGAGCGCGCCCTCAACGCCATAGATGAACGGATTCAGCGGATCCTGAGGATTGTCGTAGTTTGGCGGAGGCCATGTGAGGATGTCCTCGACCGTTGGCATCGACATGATTGCGGTGGCTCCTGAGTACCTGTACCGGTAGCTAGCACTACTCGCGGTTCACCAGCCTTCGCAAGCCAGGACGATCGAGGAATATAATCGTCAATAGAGGTCGGTCAAGATGGAGGTATCCCGTTTCAAGAGGAGGAGAGCCGAAGGAGACCATGAACAATAAAATATGTCTAAACCTGGGGAAGTGGGAACACAAGGGATTTGATATTCATGCGTAAATCCCGAAAGAGCCGTAAATCGGGGGTCGGATGCAGCAAACACTGATTTTTCTTTCTAACACCTGGTAACTCACAATGAAGTTAGGACTCCAATAGTCGGAGAATATAGCGGCGATCTGAGTGATAATGGAGGTCAGATATGCATGGCACTACCATGTGAAAGCCTGAGACATCTGTCGAGCCAGGAGGATTTAGGTACTTTGTCAGTCAGATCATGTTGACCCGCGGTTTGAGTGTACATGAACCTGCAGGTCACAGGCGCGCAGCCAGCAGCGTCCTCTCACCAGTCATTCAAGGTACATATACCACTCTAGAGAACCCTTTCGAAGGGTGGGTCATCGTCAGGTTCCAGCGATCGCCATCGCATTATTTGAAAAGTATAATATGCGTGTGCGAATCGTCTCGCAATTAATTAACCTTCGACTTTGGTTTGGCCGTCAGCTTGTCAAGACTGGACGGATCCCGAAAGGCATGGCAATGTGGAAGATTCCCCGGGCGGCCGGATCAGCCACGAGACAGGGAGAAAGAGGAACATCCTCACAAGATTGCGCAAGGAAAGCCATCGGCAGCTGCTAAAGGCATCTTGGTTCCTCTTCGGATGTTCCAGACGGACACCAGACTCCTATCCTTACGTACCTGGTGGCTTGGTGAAAGGGTATCTACACGAGGCTCCCAGTAGTGGGTAGACGGGCCAGTCCTTCGAGTGGCGGGGGCGGGGAAAGAGACGGGAGATCTCATCACCTCATTTAGGTACTACGCCTAACTTGGCACTGACGATATATAGTGAGTGACGAATGACGATATCCACTAACAGCGGAAACCTAACTTCTGCAGCTGCCACTTGCTAGGTAGGGTGAAGGGTTAGTTCACACTTCACAATTGTCAACTTGTCTCACAGGCGGATGGCGGTCGATGAGCAAGGAATCGTCAGACCCCACTCGACGGATGAGAGTCTCTGGGATCAAGGTACATCCATGAGCGCGGATGCGAGTGTTCTGTCAACCAGGCACCCTAGAAAGAATGAACTTGAACAGGTTTCGACTTGGACTTGGAATTCAGACCGGACGAACTAAAGAGAAGCCAAAAAACAAAATAATAATACTCAAACACTCAACAAGGCATCACTGCTTCAACCACGATGAAATGTGCCTGGCAGTGGAGAAGGGAGAAGAACTAAAGGGCGAGCCCGCTACCCCACATGCACTTTGCAGTCATGTACTCCGTACGGAGGTCCATTTTAAAAGTTATTGCTCGCCAAGAAAGGGGCTTGATTATATAAGTCGTTCGAAAGCCGATAGCACGGGCAGTAGGGTGTCTAGCCAACGGGCGGGTACTACGCGCGGTAAATCGAATGCCCGGCGCCCTTGCCTCGAATTAGGCTCTATAAGACCTGAATTAAATGCCCAGTTGATAGGCAGTCCAGTGCCCGTGGCATAGGCTCTCGAAACTGATTAATAATCACGCCACTTCCTCGGCGAGCAATAACTTTTGAAATGGACCTCCGTACTATACATACTACGGTATCAGCGCCCAGCAGATCATGAATTGCTAGGATAGGTAGTAAAACAGGGGCTGACTCTTTCTTGAGTCTTGATGGTGATCCGCTGTTTCGCAACGGTGACCCTGCGGGAATAAATGCAAAGAATTAATCCGGCAATAATCGTAATTTTAGCGCATTATTGTTCAAGCATTTAGCCGTCCTGACATCCTGGCTCTTGCTTCGAAAGTTCGAATTACCAATAATGCTGATTCGCGATTTGCACTTCCACATGGCACGGTAGCCGGAGCAAGGAAAATCCTGCAGTTTTCGGAGGTCAGGAAGTTGACAGGACCGAATCGTGGCGTTCGACGACGCGTTTCTTAGTAGTAGGACGCCTAGCTTGATCGTCCAAGCCGTAAGCCGATATGGCAAGGCTAAGACGTTTCAGAATGATGCGCCCGTCAATTGCCAAAAGCATGTGACGCGCCAGGTCATAGGTGGCCTAGTGAAGGGCTGGTGCTCTGTATCCTTGGAGTTTATGTTGCAACGGACTCTAACTAGAACAGGATATGACTGACTTTCTCCAGGTGCGGGGAATCAGTAGTTGCATGGCGCAATTGTCTTTGCTTGATTCATCCGGATTTGGTGGGCGTTGAAGTGGAAAAGGGATTTTGTATTCACGTGGGAGGGAGGATGTTGTTAGGAGAAGTGGAGTTCGAAGTTGAGATCTCAGATCAGAAGATAAAGTTCCAAGAACTCCAAGCTTTGGCTCCTCTTGGCACTTATAGAAACAGCATGGATATATTTGGATCAATCTCCCCAGCCACATCGTCATCTTGAATTCTATACAGGTTATGCCTTAAAATGGTTGAAAAGCATCATCATATTGGGTAAAATACAACGAGAAAATGTACAGAATATGGCACAGTCTATCAGTCCGTCACATTCTCAGAGTCTCACAGAGTCCCTCCTCCCCTATGCTACCAGCAGGCGATGGCCCCTCGGCCTATTCCTTGCACAACACCTGCATCCGCTAGCGTCTTGGTAACAATCTCAATATTCTTCGCCGGGAAAGGACCGTGAAACTCCTCCAGGATTGATCTGACGAGGGATCAAGTTCTCCGAGATCGAGAAATCCCACAAGTCTTCAAGGAATCTATACTCAGGAATGTCAAGCTAGCTATAGGATGTATATGTATGTATATATATATCTATATATATTATATGATCGCGGATCCCGATCTTGCGGCACAGCAGTGGCATTCCCACAATATTATACTCGCTTGCAGGATTGCATACGAGATGGCAATCAGGACTGGGTAGCTCTTCGGGGAGGGACGCATCCTCCATATATCCAGGCTCATTCCAGCGCCCTACCAGCCAAGGCGACGATGGAAGTCTGATGAAGTTGAAACAGAAGAAGGCGAAACTGGAAGGATGCCGGAGATGGAGGACACTATTACTGCAATTCGCTGCCGCCTTGTGACGAGGATTGACCGTTTCTCAAAGTCAAAAGTCAATACCTTGGCTCTCCATACAGCAACTGTTGGAACTGCTTGGAATCCATCAATATTAACAGGGTCCAGACTCCAGAGCAACTTAACCATTCTTCTTCCACCGTGGCTCCGTTCTCTATAGCGCCCAAGCAGTAAGTACATGGAGGTTAGAAGCCAGAAGTCAGGACTATTATTGAATCGAGACCCGAGGGGACTGTCGCCCGTTATCAATACATATTAGATATTCCCTGTCAGATGCTGCGTAATTAGTGAACTTGGCGAGCAGGTCAAAGCGCAACTTTACTGATGGTGGCTGAATCGAATTCATCGGAACCTTTGCTTTCCATAAGCCGAACCAAGTATCTGGGAATCTTGTTCACCATCTTTGACATGAGAATATACATCGGGACTTTCCAATCTACTGAGTGTTGCAAGCCCCGGGTTGCCATACCAGTCGTGTGGACGCTTGCTAGTAACTGGAGGTTGGCCAGAGAGCCCCGGATGAATTCCTCACCCCGGCTGGTTCCTTTTCAGCCCCTTGACCCTTCCCTTCAGCCTTCAGGGGCTCAGGCTTGAGGCTCCAACAACCTTACGATCCGGATGGTATCGAGCTCCTCCAAATTCCAACATCTTTGGATGTGTTCTGGAATGACTTTCGGTGGACATGATCATTGCGCAGCCCACATTAACGGAGCGCGGCGCTTCGTATCAACTAGCCTGAACTAGGTATTTCTCTTCGCCCCAGTCCTCCCCCATCCGAGTTAGCGAACCTGGCAATTTCCAGACTTGGATATGATCATAGCATTTAGGAACCATGATCTACACACAGATCATTATATCCGGCATAGCTACCATAGGAGAAATCACACGTGCGGGTCTTTTCCTACCGAAGGTCTTCATCTTGACTTCTTCTCATTCTCATTCTCTTGAGAGTAGGTACTCATCATTCTCTTGCCACTCTCTTCAAGAGTTGTTTGTTGCTCACCTCAGTCGTTCATTTTGTTCGTTTTGTTCAAGAGTTCTCGCGTTTCTGGGTCGATTCCCTTATACAGATCCACATTCATTCATTCTGAGGCTCCCGAACCCCAGTCATGCATTCTTTAAAATACCTATTGTTAGGTCTTCATGTTTTGTCGTCACAAGCAAATTCGGTCATCCCAATCGAGAATTTTGGGGCTCCAGGAATTGACGCGACTTATGACTACGTCGTTGTCGGTGGGGGAACTTCGGGGCTCACAATAGCCGCGAGACTTGCAGAGACGTCTGGTGCTACCGTAGCTGTGCTTGAAGCAGGTGGACTCTACGAAGTTGAAGCCCCTCTGCTCTCAGTCATCCCCGGACTCGCAGCAGCTGTAAGTCTCAATCATGTCATTCATTGCGTATAAAGTGCTCACGACACCTCGTTTTAGGTTAATACGGGCACGAGCCCAGATGATGATTCTCTGCTCATTGATTGGAACTTCGATACTGTCCCACAAACGGGTGCTAATAATCGTGTTCTGAGGTATGCCAGAGGGAAATGTCTAGGTGGTTCGTCGGGAAGGAACTTCATGGTTTACCATAGGTAGGACATGCAACTATCCATTGCATGCTAGACTAACAGCGAGTTTCCAGAGGCACCAAAGGAACATTCGACAAATGGGCGGAGCTGATTGGCGACACTGCTTGGTCATGGGCGAGCGTCTTGCCATTCTTCAAGAAGAGCACAACTCTCACCCCCCCTGACATGTCCAAGCGTCAATCCAACGCCAGCATCTTCTATGATCCCGTGGGATTCGACAACTCCCTCAACGGTCCCCTTCAGGTAACCTGGCCGAACCATGGTTCTCCCCTTTCAACATACGTCGAGGTTGGACTTGCGTCCATCGGACTTCTTCCGGACACGGACCTCAACACTGGTACCCTGAACGGCTCATCATGGGCTTCCGTCACAGTTAACCCTAAGGATCAGTCTCGCGAGTCATCAGAGACAAGTTTCCTGGACCAGGCTCTCGGCAACTCGAAGCTCAAAGTCTATCAACACGCATTCGCCAAGCAGATCCTCTTCAGTGGAACGACTGCTACCGGGGTGAAAGTTGACACCTTTGGAGTCGGTTACACCATCAAGGCGAAGAAGGAGGTCATCGTCAGTGCGGGAGCCTTTCAGTCTCCACAGCTGCTGATGGTCTCCGGCATCGGACCGCAAGCCACCCTCCAAAGCAAAGGTATCTCCGTCCTCAAGGACCTTCCAGGTGTTGGCCAAAACTTGATGGACCATTTCCTCTTCGGCATCACCTACCGCGTGAACGTTGTCACCGCCACCCGACTTTTGCTCGACCTCGTTTCCGCCGCCGATGCGCTCACCCAATACCTCGCCCAAAAAGGCCCGCTCACTGCCCCGGGATTCGGCGTCATCGGCTACGAAAAGCTTCCCGCCAGCGCAAACCTGTCGAACTCATCCAGGGCGGCCCTCGATGCCGCGTTTCCATCTGATTGGCCCGATGTCGAGTATATCGGTATCGACGGCATCATGAACGGCTGGAAAAACGCGGACGATCAGAAGGTGGACGACGGATACAACTACGGAGGCATCTCCGCGGCGCTCGTCGCCCCGCTCTCCCGTGGCTCCATTACCATTAACAGCTCAAAGATGGAGGACCCGCCGCTCATTGACCTGGGCTACCTCACCCATCCCGCCGACGCCGAAGTCGCCGTCGCCGCGTTCAAGCGCACCCGACAAGCGTGGGCCGGCACCGACATCACGCTCGGCGACGAATATCTCCCTGGCCCTGCCATGGACACGGATGCAAGTATCCTCGAATATATCCGCGAGACCTTGGTTCCGGTGTGGCATCCGTCAGGGACGTGCAAGATGGGTGCGTCCAGCGACCCGGAGGCGGTAGTAGACAGCAACGGACGCGTGCATGGAGTAAAGAACTTGCGAGTTGTAGATGCGTCGATTTTCCCGGTGTTGCCGCCTGGACATCCGCAGAGCGCGTGCTACATGGTTGCGGAGAAGATCGCGCAGGATATCAAGGACGGGAACTAAGACGGGGATTCGGGTGGGATCCTGGTTCAATTCTGTCACGGGTTATTTGAGCATGGGAGTCGTACGAAATGTGTATAGGATTGTTGGAAGCATAATATCCTAATGATATCTTAATTGGTTTCGTAGCTAGATCTCCTCCTATCTTCATTATATTTCACTCTACTATTTAACAGATGCGGCTTGAGGTCGTTCGATCATGGTATGAGCCCTCGTACTGTCACCAACTGAGCATCCCGCAACTCATCCAAGCATAGAAAGTCCTTCCGAGCCATTGGGGGGCCTCCCTCTCTTCTGATGCTCAGAGATTCATCTTCCCGTCCTCATTGTATCATCCCAGATACCGGAGGTTGATTACTATGATCAGCATAGATGTCCGTTCCCTAGCTCCTGGAGGCAGAACGGCGGTTTTGGTATAGGAGCAGTCCGAGCAGTAGGTTCCGCATTGCTCTCCGGGAATAACCATGTCTTGGAAATCACCATTCTATGGTTCGGTTACTGGCTCGTGAATTCGCCATTCGGCTTTAAGAAAAGTTTCGTGGAGGGTATACACCTGCCATGGTCCAAGACGATTTAGTCCGACAAATGATGTTTGTCCTATCATGTCTGTCCTTGTAAGAGTCCCCAGTATCTTTTCTCTTTTCCTCGGTGCGCTTCCCTTTCATTTGGCTATTCCCTCTGTTAATAATCAATGGTAGATATTATCCATCTGTCATGGCCGAAGCTGTCCTGCCGCTTGCCATAAATCAGTATCCTATCTATGATCCCTAGACATCCCTCCCCGGTAGAGGACCCCATTCAGTGCTAGTAATATATCACTCACAGCCCAGCTACCAGGAGCTGCAGCAAGTGGAGAACTAGGGAAGCAGGAAGAGCGGCAACGGTGGTGCCAACGGGGGCGTTTACAATAATCTCTAAGGGGCTTGCCTATGCACCTCCGAACATATTGGCGCAAGCTGCGCAAGTCTGTTCAGAAACGTAAGTCAAGTAAAGGATATATCTCACTGATGCCAGGACGAGGGTTTAGACTAGGATTCAGCAGAATCATGCCAGGAGGCCTCACTGTCTCTTCCAGTATCTTGGGCCGTTATGGCCGACACACCCCTTGGGACCAGCGTTTGTGCGATGGTGGCGGCGACTGGCTTAAGTTTCCATCTCTAGGTGGCCTTGACATCAGTACCAGTGCCCTTAGGTCCATAGGCCTCGCTGGTGCTATGGAATGGAACAACAGAGCCAGCTGCATCGCCAAGTTTGCGTGCCTACTTGCCACTGCCACTGTTCAACGCGGATCCGCGGCACTGGCCACGGGAAATCCAACGAGAATTGCTCCCTCTGATGGAATGAAGCCCTCCTAGGCGGCAAGTTTCGGTACTTGACGTATACGACAAGTGTATGAGGTATCTTTCTTTTCTCCAAGTCCCTCGCGCTGCTTAGATTCCGCAAGAGGCTTGATGCGTCGGATATGAAGATGTCATCGGCTGGTCTTTTGCCTGCCGAAATTGCACTGAGGTTGACTTCGTACGCGGTCTGAGGTGTGCAGATGCCAAAGCTTTCTGCTTCAGTTGTGACGTCCTGACAGCATAAGTGTCTATGTTGTGCTGTCCGACGAAATAATTATATTTGTTATACGGACGAGATTCTCGACAATGTTCTCGGACTGTCGCAATGTCGTCCGCCCGGGGACAGCGACGTCTCCAGTTTATATGCACTAAAGATATGAAGATGTTCCCTAAATAGAAAGGAAATATGATAATCAAAAATACTCTAACGTATTCCACAAGCGAGCCGCCACTACAAGCGAGCCGCCACCTCAACCAGAAAACGCGACACTCGGTCTATAAACAACAATGTCTCAATCAATTGATGCTCAATCTATCCAAAAAGAGGGTCGTTTATCTTTAGCTATACACGCTATCGGTCAAGGCCAAATTCAGAGCAATCTACAAGCTGCAGCTATATTCAACGTCCCTAGAACAACTCTTAGAGACCGACGCGCTGGAATCCTTTCACGACGCGACTGTACGCCCAATTCAAGAAAACTTACGGATCTAGAGGTGAGTGTTATTATTCGACATATCTTGGACCTAGATTCGCGAGGATTTGGGCCCCAGTTGGGTGGTGTTGAAGATATGGCCAATAAACTCCTTGCTGCTCGGGATAGCAGAAGCGTCGGTGTCAACTGGGCTCTCAGCGTGGTACAGCGACGATATACCAAAGGATTGGGTTTTGACCCTAAGCGACTATG